ATAAACAAAAGTTAACATTAATATAACATCAATGAACCATTTTATAATGAAATCTTTTCACATTAACATTAATTCCATAAAGAACAAAATATAATATGCACTCGTTTCATCATATATTTATTTCATAAAGGAACACAATACATTACGTATCCGTTTCATTTTCATCCTACCAACTAAACAGATCAACTTCAATCACAAAAGCAACATGGATCATCATGAACCTAGATGTACATTCAATCACAAAGCAACAAGGATAACCATGAAACTTCAATCACAAAGCACCTATTYCATTAACACGTATAATATGCATAGACGGAGCAAATAAACCATTTTACAATGAAACCTTTTCACATTGAAACAGTTTCATGACCATTGTTTTTTGAACTTTGTTTATGAAACTATTCATTACAATATTTTCATTAGGAAATAGAGAGATTATATTATTTCGATTTTTCAACTGTTTTGAAACGTTTGATGAAACCGTTGCATCAATAATTCATTTTCCTTATTTCACTCATATGAAAATGATTCATCATTATGAACCTTTTCATTATGAAACAGTTTCATGAAACCTTTTCATTAAAGTGGATAATATGTCTAGAGTATTAATTTGAACAATATGCCTAGAGTATTAGATTATGAACATGCTTCATCATTATGAACCTTTTCATTATGAAACAATTTCATGAAATTTGCCCCATATGAAACAGTTTCATTAACTTTAGGAATGAAGTTCGCCCCATATGAACGTCCCATATGAAACAGTTTCATTATGAAACATTTTCATTATGAATACCCCATTCAAATCAAGTTTTTAATATTATAATATATTAAAAATTTTAATATGTTACCATTCAAGAAATTTCCATAATTAAATTTCCTTATTTAATATTTATTAATAACTACTTTATTTATCATAAAAATATAGAAAATGACCAAAATACACTTATTGATTAAATTTAATTAAAAAATAATGGAATTTTCCTATTGGTCGAATTTGATTTACACGGTTTCTTAGAATTGCATGGTTTTCATTTGAACATGCCCCTATATATATATATATATATATATATATATATATATATATATATATAGA